TATTTACCTTTTCATTTCTGGGATATTCAAGATCATCAAACATCTGATATGACGTTGATATAATAATAATAATACACGTGTACAGAAATATCTCCTGCGTTATAATCTTACTTTCCCTCGTCGAAAGGCACATATTGTAACTAAAGAGCGCGCATTTTTTAAGAAGACCCCAATGTTTTTCGATTGAACAGTACGAGCGGCGGGCGTGGAGAAGGGAAAAAAGGGCGTAGTAAGTCATACGGAGAGGCTCGTACGTCATACTTCATCCGGGCCAACGGAGCAACACATGGAAAGGGTTCTCTCCATATACAAGAAACGCACTCACTTGGGCTGCCTCTTTAGGTCGCTATGCTATAGTGTGAGGTCTGTATTATATGTGCTTGAGTTTCGTACACCTTTATACATAGAAGAGATCCGAACCTTGATCACCTGTGTACAATATACCGCCTACACTCGACGCATATCCGTCATATAATTTTTTAATAATTCGCAAAAATTAATTTTAAGATACACACATTGATATAAAAGCAAACTGGTTTATTGATGAATACCACTTTTATCGTATTCTCTCTTTTCATTATATTCTCTTAATCATCAATTTAATTTCATTATAAAATACATAAAAACATTATAAAATAAGATATTCTGATAATTATGATGATAATAAATGTGATATCCTTTATATCAATCAAAAGAATAATTTTGTTTATTTGTATTTTTAATTAATAGACATATTTATTTTATAGGTGATGATGCTAATAAATTGCGTAAAGAAAATCTCAAATTTGCAAAGCTGAACTGGAATATAAATATTTCTGTTCCGTAAAAAGGGAATCTTACGATTCCTGAAGATTGGAGCTGATCTTCAGTAGTACGAGAGTAGAACACTGTATTACCGGCAAATCTCGTAAACGGCCATAGCAGCAAGTGGGGGTTCCTTCTTGAGAAGGAGGGGTAAACGAGCCGAGCCACGATTTCGTTGTCGTAAACGTCAAAGTTACGGTTACAGCGTTGTTCCTAGTTACTTTATATTGAACGAGGTTGCTCCCCGAGGTACGTAACCTACCTACTCGCAACCGTTGTATTGCAGAAAGTAGCACTATGCTCCTTTCCAACTCAGGAATGACGCGGTCACCACGTGGCTTTTACGCGGGAATTCGGCAGAGCAGTTCAAGGTTCGTTAAATATCCTTTTAGTTATATCACGTGCTAAGTAATATTAATTTTCTTTTTGTAATTTATATAGTAACAAATGTATTGTGCTTGTTCAAATAAAAATTAACATAGATTACCATCTTAGTTCTTTTTTTTATCTCCTTGAGAGATGATTATGATTTAAATCGCTGAATCATTTGCAAAAATTTTAAATTATATTATATTAATTTTTTTAATCAACATTTATTTAAATTCAATGGAAGTACAGAATGTACACTTGGAAAACGGAAGCTATATTAACGGTACGTTCATCCGGCATATTTATCTTGATTAATATTCCTGTATCAAGTTATCATCTCTTAATGTAGCTTTAAAAAAGATCTTTTTTTAGATTTGTGTCGTAAAAGAGGTTCGCTCTCAATAGACTGAAATGAAGAGATGCCTAAATAGCACCCCAGCCTTTATCGTCGCCCTCTAATTACCCTGTAGACGCAGTCACCCCTCAATGAGGAGTGATAAATATTGTTCGCGTTTGAGTATATCCTGAGAAAGTGAATCAACTCTATAAAGAAAGGTATATATATACACATATATTTCCTATTGCTATTAGCATCGCAGATTATTTACTGATAAAATGCTTTTAATTTAAAGATTTTCTATTTTTACTATTAAGAATAGAACAAAATTAATTTTAATATTTATATATAAAATATTAGAAAAGGATTTAAAATATAAAGACGGATAGTATTTACTAAACTGAAATCTATTTACAAATTCTACTAACTACAAATCTGCAAAATATATGAAAAAATTATTTAAATTAAATACCACTTCTATTTTCGATAGTCATGCTTTTATTTGTTGATTAAATATTTATATATTTTTTGCTTAAGTTAATGAATACATTATCTTTATATTTTTAATTTTTTATCGTCATGTGTATCTGTTATTAAATTAAAATCGTATTGATACAGGCGTATTAAGTATACATTACAAGAAAGAAGACAAATAAAAGTAGATTTATGATACTATATCTACTTTTATTTGTCTTCTTTACATATAACACATTAATTTTATCGCGCGCGCCATAAAGCGCTAGTTTCCTAAGCGATTTATAAAATGCTAATTAACAAAAAGAAATAACGACAATATGTACGTAAACGTTGTAATTTAATAATATTATAAATATTTTTCATAAAAAAAAACAGAATTATATAAACTTACTTCTTTTAATATAACTTTTTTTAATATAAAATATATTATACTTTATGGACGACTATCTACCATTTTCATATTTATATGAATTGAACGTATAATCGATCTCGTAATCGTTTATCATACATTTACGATACACAAAGGTGTAGTTAAAAGCGCGATAAATTAAGCGACAGATGCAGTATTTCATACTAGCATGCATTCTAGCTATATAATTATCTTTACCGCGATAAGTATTTAAAGAATAAATAGAGACAATAGACATATACATCAATTTTTAGCATTTCGTAATAACTGCGGTAAAGGTTTAAATGGTAAGACTTGTAATATCTAGCATTATATTATGCCACAATATAAGTTATATTATACTGATTTAATTATAATACATAGTCACATTTTGCATCTTATGTGTGAAAGAGATTTTTAAAGCGTTAATTAGACATTTTATATAGTAAAAAGCAACGTGAAACTTTATAGTATCAATATAGTGATAAATTATAAATTTATTACCTAATCTAAATATTATTCAAAATATAGAAGCTACGATGTGTAAATTAATTTTCTACAGCCGAGGTTATAAATTGGGATCATTCATCGTAACCAATGATAGATGATTGCCGATAGACATTGATAGCTCTATATTTAACTACAAATCTACGACAAATTAATCCATAATCCTGTATCGATAAATTTTCCTATGTGTTCGATTTAACGACATTGAAAAGCACTTGTTAGAGAGTATGAAATGAGTCAACGACTTTCAATCTGCGAGTACATAGAACCTGTTATACGAGTATGCGGCTGATCAAATGCTTTTACTCATTCCTACGATTCCTACAATCACTGCGTTCCATGTATCATCGAGGCAATTTGCAAGCCATAAGCAATGATCCGAAACATTCAATTGATTACAATAAAGATGAATGGAAGTAATTCCTCTAAATCTTTAAACAGATGATAAGTAAAAAAAATGTTGATTTAAGTAAAAATTTCGTTTATGCATATATGTGTACACTCGCGTATTTTTAATAAATGCTACAATTCAGGATTTATAAACTATCAATAATCAGAAATTTTTAAGAAATATTAGTTTTTTAAGTAATACAATATAACATAATAACGACAAGATATACATACATTTAAATGTTAAAAATTATTTCTTGAAAAAGAATATGGAAATTCATGTTGTAGAGTTTATACACTATAAAATTCATCGAATAGTATTTTAATGTTTCTTAAAACATAATTCCTTCCTTTATATGTAAAACATCTCTTGTAGTCGAAGATGAAGAAAAAAATAGATGACCCTTAAATCGGACCGAAAAAAAAATAATAAAGAAGATTCCCGTCGAGAAGGAAGAGCTAGAAGCGGTTTTGAGCAAAGAAAAAGAATAGATATAAAAAAAACTGCTAGCTTTCTAAGGGCCTAGTCTCAGCTGAGTTAGTAAAGAAAGGTCTCACCGAAAGTGCGATATCACCCATGAGGCCTTGATTATATATCTACTAACGGCAAAGCAGAAGGTTATTCGAGAGTATCTCTCTCGCATGAAAAGGACAAAGACATCGCTAGAAACAGCTGACTACCGGAATTCGGGGTTCCGGTGGGGTGAGTACAGTGGGGAAGGCACTTGAACCCCCAATTGGACGAGGACTTCCCCATTATACCCAACGTACCCAACGATTTTACACGCACTTGACTCCATTCTACCTATCTAGCAGACATAATTTTGCCAAGGTACACGGCCGATTTTCCACAACATAGCCCGTGCGCGTTGACACATGGAAATAAAAAACTTGTGGAATTTACATTTAATACGAAAATGTATGCAAATGTGGGGGTAAGACTAGCAATTTAAAAGCAATTATAAGCACACATTTATTATTATTATATTCGTTATTATGCTATCAAATAATAATTTTCGCGTTCAGCAATTAAGAATCTACGAAAACTGACTACATTAAAAGCAACAATAATATTTTTAATTTTTTATATAATAATTTTAATTTTACATTAAAAAAATTTTGAAATATTTCTATTAATTATATACGATGCTTTAATATTTACGGCTTCAATCTTTAGTAAACTTTAGTTGCTATTAATCATTTTTGTCATCATATTTATTTGACCAGAAGGTAATGAAATGCTTTTAGTTTGTCAACGATTGTAAATCTGTTATCTCGGATTTCATGATGGACATGCCGTATTTCAAAACGACGCACAGACTATGCAAAAAATTTCATCGCATTCGGCATGGTAGCATGATAAGCTGTATATTCGTCGAATAGAACGTATATCTACATCTTCCGCTTTTTTGTAAACAAAGGAAGGGTGAAATAACTCATCGTTGACGCGGACGCAACAGAAAATTTTTCATCCATTTAGATTTATTCGTGATACATGTGAAACATTCTATTCTATAATCCCGCACAACTTCTAGGTAATTTCATCGCGTGGAAGCAATTTTAACAATTTAGTCTGGTATAACCAGACAGGCAAGCCTGATCCACCACGCCTTCCCGACCACGTGGTCGTCGCTCCCCACGTTTCCCCTAGCCATAGTGGCTCCTATATTTCATCGTGGCTGTTATGATAATAGTCGTATAAGAGAGCATTTATGAATGCAAACTCACCTGCTATAGCCATCCAGGGGTAGAAGGTATGGTTGCTGGTAGGTTGCTGATGTAGTTGCGTGGCGACCGGTTGACTCGCGGACGAGTTTAAACTGCAGGTGTTCCAAGACGACGTGAGGGATCTTGACGAACTGTTGTTACCAGGACTCGATGCTGGATCACCGCCTACGAGACCACCGTAGCTACTAACCCTTGTACTCTCTGGAGTACACGCAGAGGGACGTACGACCGAATTACTCTGGCTGTTCGCTCCCGAGGTCGCTGACTGCCAAACGTCCTTGACCGCTGCCGCTGCCATCACCGCAGCATAACCATTTTGATGGGTCGACGTTTGATCTTGTTGCTTACAGTCTTTCGTTGCTGTTGTTGAATATGAAGATGTAGTATGACCAGTTGCTTCAGGTGTCGTCGAATAAAGCTTGCAAGCCGTCGCAACGCTCGCGTCATATGGCGAGTCTTGAGGTGGTCTTGTATTGCTTCCACCACCTGGGTGTATTCCTAACGAGGATGATGTGTGATGATGATGCTGCGCCGAAGCGTAAGGCGACATACCTAATCCGAGTGGAAAGCTTCGATACGCTGCTGCGGTGGCTGGATCATGATGCTGACTTGCCGCTCCTGTTTGATGATGGTGGCTTCCATAGAAGCCACCCGCGGTCTGCTCAAAGTACGAGTTCATTATCCCGGGTATTTTGGATCACTTTCACTAAAACACCGGCACTGAAAAAAGGTGAAGAAAGAAGTCTGAGTTCAAACGGCCCGCAATTACATGGAGTGCACACGGCTAGTCGAATTTTACTAGTCCGTACTCCAACTTCGATGCTGAATTATTCCGATTTAACTTCTTCAAATTAAACAAACGTAAAACTTCCGATATTGTACTATGTTACAAGTTAAGATACACTTAAGAAAACGATATGCTGTTTGACACGGCGAAAGATGATAAGATTGACGAGGGGCAAATAAACGAGCATTAAACAATTTTAAGAGGTCATAAAAGTCATTAGCAGATATAGCTGGTTACACCAGGAGTGTCAATGTCAGTAGGCCGTAAGAGTATAATTCAGAATGGATTTCATGTCAACGGTGGGAGTTTTTATGGTCTTGTTATGGTTACTGCTACGTGCAAAGCATAAACTAGTGATCTCGACTATGAAAACAGGCGATGATCGTTAAACCGTTACGATGTAATAAACTTAGGTAATAAGACGGGCTATAAAATGGCTTGTGGGTTCTTCTACCGCGTGCTCGTCCGACGACGGTTTGGTCAGCCGGCACGCGACCACCCTCGCGGGTGGTTCTCTCTTTCTTCCTCTTTTTGAAATAAATTAAAAATCGCGATTGATCAGGTCGAGGCCTCTTGAAGAGCCAGTCGATCTGTTACAGAATCAAAAATGACTCTGCTAGTCCGCACTGCACTAGCACTTGTCGTATCGTGACTTCGCTGATGACTGAGGTCCGGTACGAATCAGAGGACGATGAAGATCGTAACGAATCACGGTATGCCAGTGCGGTGGTCCACGGCACACTACCGCTTTTCTCGCGCCCCGTGTACCGCCACTCTGTACCGTCGTCCGTCTCTTGCTCGCTCGTTCACCTCGTTTTGTCTCTGTTCTTCACAGTCGACTTCTCTCGCACTCTCTCCGAAGTTTCCTTCCTCGTTCTACCAATCACCGTTTCTCCATGCACTCTCTCTCTCTCTCTCTCTCTCTCTCTCTCTCTCTCTCACTTTCCGTCACGGTCACTCCTTCCTATTCGTGCGGTTGTCGCTTCTCGCTCACGCATACTCTTCCTCCAGAGTACTACGTCCTAACGGAGAGATCGCAGTGCCGTATCCCTCTTTGTCCCTCATATACCATCCCCCTCCTGGTACGATAACTGTGTTCTCTCGCTCTATCTACCGTCGTTGTTGTCCCCCTCTTCCACCCCCAATGTTCTCCCCACAACGTTGCTCTCTCACCCTCTGATTCTGTCTCGCTCCACCTCTCAACAATATTCGTTCTCTCCCTTCCCATTCGAGCTATCCTCTCCCTCTTTCTCACAATACGATTCCTCAGTGCCCCCTATCGAGCGTTCCAGTAACTCAACGACGTACCGCCAGATTAAATTCGTACTCGCTCGCCGTGCGCGTCACATTTGAGACGCGCGACAGATAAGACGGTGCGGGATAGAAAGAGAAAAGAACTTCTCTTCTCGCGACATGAAAGAAAGAGACGAGATAGGAAATAGAGAGGGATGAAAACACGTAAAGACACGAGCAGAAACGAATAAGAAGGTGGGGAAGAGGGAGATAAAGAGGAAAAGAAAGAACGTTATGCGCAATTGCAACAGCTAAGAGTGAGACGAAACGGAGCGAGTGCTGTTGCGTATATATAGTGACGAGGAGGGAGAACGTGCCGCTAAGGGAGGAGGTTATACTTAAGGACCAATCAGAATTGAATTCGTCACGAATACCGCGCTGGTGTGGCATGAAAGTTCCTACGCCGTGTGAAAGTAGTTCCAAGTTGGAACGACGCCCATGAACGGCTAGGCACCGCCCCGCAGACCCCCACTACTAAAGCGCGCGAGGTACAGCACGCTGTATACAGCTCCGTATCATACTAGAGAGAGAGAGAGAGAGAGAGAGAGAGAGAGAGAAAGAGGAAGAGAGATGGAGAGAACCGAGCGTCACACAATGTTTCTGCCTTCTCTTTCTCTCTTCTGTGTTCGTTCGTGGGGATACGTATACCGCCACCTTTGAGTCTTGTAGTGAACTAATCTCCCAGATCCATTCAGACATTCAAACGACCAACATCAACGAGCTATCTCGCGATTATCGTTATTGCGGTAGCATCGTCATAAATTCATCGTGACACAGAATAACCTGATCGACAAGTTGTACACTAAACGAGATAGTAAACAGGTTTAGAAATGAAAAGTATTATCTAAGAAACATCTCGATTATATTTAAGATCGCATTAGATCGAACCGATCTGATATCGAGGATACTTGATGATGAGAGGATAAATGTAATGATATTATCATGAATGTCTTTTATGAGGTATATCGTTGTTTTACGGATCAATTAAATGATGATCGTAGAATTAAAATGTCGTAAAAGTGAGCTCATAAGGCCAGTCAAGCAAGCAACTTCTACGGCGCGCGCCACTAGTATCGGGAGTGTTTATTGGGATGTAAATGTCGCTGGATTATCGTTCCCGCGGTTCGCACCTCGTAAATTATTCCGTAACGAGCCGAGTAATGCCCATCATAAGCTGCTCGCCGAAGCTGACCCTAGTTATTTGCTTACGCGCTCTTGCCATTATAAATGCTTAGAGTATTAGCCACCTGCTTTACTTTTAAAAATACATGAAAGTAAAAGATATCTAATTTCTAGAATATTTTTAATAACTAAATCGGTATAAATGCAAAATGAATTGAATCATTCCAAGAAAATGAAACGACATACACACAACATGTTTAAATAATCTGCCAAACAATCAATTGTATAGAAGTTAGCTACATCCTATTTTTTATTATTAAATAACATAGTAAATATAAAAAAGAATGTAATATGTACATAATCTTAAAGTTTCCATTAGATACCTGTAGTGTCTTGTAAGTACATAAGTACATTACGCATCATCGATCGCTATGTTAAAAAATCTTATAAATGTATAAATCACATAAAAGCTTATTAAGCTTTTAATTTGATGAGGTGCCGTTGATGAAGATGCCGTCAATGCAGTTTTCGCTTTTGCGAGACTCCGACAGGTGGCAGCCCGTTTACTTGAAAATCATGACGGCAATAAACTTCGGTTTTATGACCACTTGAACAGAATCGTAAAAGTCAGGGCCTTTAAGCTTATAGCGTAGTAGGGCGCGTGTCGAATATGGTGGGGCGTGAGGAAAGTCACCATATGAATGAGGAAGGTAATGGGCCATATGTGATATGGATACTCAAAAATGGGCCTAATGTCTTTTTTAAAACGGCGAATGACTAGTTTCAAAGATATTCTTTGATGTTAAATATCGTTTTAATGATTTAATAAATTTACCGATAAAAGCCAATTCAAATATTTGTTATCATGCTGTTTCGATAAATTCTGTCATCGTGATAATGTAATCTAGTTTTAAATTATAAGCTATCCAGGTAGCAAGCTGATGTTACTTATCGTTAGTATACTAATTAGGAATACAAATTAAGTAATTAAATTATATGTATTATTATATCCCAATATTTTACGCGAAAAATAGAAACAAATATTATCAATAGAGACATAGGTATCATCATTCAATTATGTCAATTATTGACATAAAAATCCATACAAATAATATGACGTACATTCTAGATCTTCAATAAAAACCAGGACAACGAAACGAGAATGTCAAAGTAGGGATTAGAAGACATATGAGAAGACGAACATGAAAACGAAGAGGCCATTGCACCCGAGTCGAGCAAATCTGTGTTCTTGCTAAGCATTCATTCCTCATCGCTGTGGTGATTTTGGCTCATCCACTTTTCTCCAAGCAGTGATTCAACGCACTATTTGGACGTTCAATCTGACTGAAGTTTCCTTTCTTCTTTCTATTTCATCTCTTCATTTTGCAAATTCATATTCACTTACAAATTGCATCTCTTTTTTGTATATAATTCAGTAATATTTAATCACACAAACAAATAGATATAATACTAACAATTTAAGATGAATATTATTGACATCGTTTTTTTTTTCGCATGAATGAAATATTCTGAGAATCAAAATACGAAACGTGTATGTATGTGTGACACCGAAGAAAACTAAATTGATAAATTGAATAATATTTTCTTATAGAATAATGAATTTCGTCTTACTCAATTTTTTTAAAATTTAGGAAGCAAAATGTTAAATATAGCAAATGTTAAATATCTAATTTGAAGCTAATATAAATAAATAAATAAAAATTTTTTTAATTTTGGGAAAATTAATAATATAAAATAAAATCTTAATAGTTTTCTTAATTATATAATAATTTAATTTTTATTCTAAATATAATCTCAAATGAATCGTATTTTTACAATAGCTTTTTCAACTAAATAATATCATTCTTATTAATTACATCACCAAAAATAAGTTTAAAAAGAAATATTATTGATTAGCGCACAACATATTGATCGGCAGCGCACCAGGAGTAAAGAATTGCATAGTAAGGATTCGGAAGATGCTTCCTTTGCCATCTGGTGGTCCTTTGTGTCATCATGTGATTACGAAAGGTGCA